ACATCTTTTAAGTTTGTTTAGGAAATATACAAAATCCTTGGATAGCTTTTAAATTCTAATCCAACTATTCTCAACCAAGCTACAAAGGGAATTTAATTTGGTTTTGCATAGGCAGAAAGAAAAAAAAAACTCCTTAATTTAGACTATTTGAGTAGTAAGGCCAATAGAAGATAGTGATAATCCTAAAATTATGTCATCAAAGAAAAGGACAAAGAAGAGGAATAGGAAAAGAGGAGAAAGAAAGGAAGACATTTCTTACTTTTAATTGTAAAGAGTATAGTATACCGTGAGCATAGCTAAGCTGTAACAATGAAAGAACTCAAGAGACAGACCTTAAATAAGTTTCTTCCTTTCTTTCCATAGCAGTTTAGAGATAAGAGGCCCAAGGCTGGTAGGGCATCTCTCTCTGGGTCTCACCGGCTGTTTCAGTGCTTACTCTTTCCTAGCCAGTAAGAAATAAGAAATGCAGGGCTGCTCACATCCTATCATCCAGAATGTAATGACATGGTCCCACCTAGTTGCAAGGGGCTCTGGAAAAAAAGGATCCCAGCAATGTGACTATGTGCTGAGCTAAAATTCAGAGCATTCTATTACTGAAAGGAAGAATACATATCAGGGGACAATTACCTGTCTATGCCATAGTCAACGTGTTGGGAAACTGTGGCCCAAATCTGGCCTACCTCTTGTTCTTGAACAACCCGTGAGCTATGAGTGGTTTTCACAGTGAATGTTTACAATTAATTTGATGCTAGAGAACATCTTTGAACCCCAATTAAGCAGAATATTATTCCCTCCCAAAAAACAATTCCATTCTTCTCATGAGTAAATCTGTTACGAAAATGGTACTCAATTATTATTATACTTTGAATCTCATTACTGAATAAACTTGTTATACAAGTAATGATATATCCTTGATTTTGCCTCTTGGCCTATAGAGCCTACAGTATTTACTATCTGGTCCTTTACAGAAAAGGACCTTGCTGCCCCTTGTCATGGTCTGAGCTGCATTAAACTAGTGGAATTCCTGTAAAGTGTAGAAAGAAGACTGACTTATAAGTAGCATAGAAATGGAACCCCATGACCCAAGAAGTCTGGCCCGTGTTTCTAATCAGTAAAACTTCTTTAACCAAGTCACAAATCCAGCAACAGCAACTTCTATTAGCCAAAGACCAGTAAAAAACAAGAAAGTAGGTGAGAAAAAAGTTCTGCACAGCCAAAATCACAGTACTCTTTATGCACTGCACATACAGAAGGATGTCCAGACCACCACACAGGGCACATTTTCTTTGTACAAGACACAGTTCTGTTAACTGTTAATAACCTAACTGGATTAGCATAAAATTATATTCATTATACTCTGTTTCAAGAGGCAGAGAATAATATACTTGAGAGAGCCTATCATCAAAATAGCGAACAGAAAATTTTGGCCATTTAAAGATATAAAACTTTTATTCTCCCAAGAACTCATGTAAATAAGATGTGATGCTGAGGTTGTAAACAGTTATTTCTAGTCCTAGCAAAACAGATTTTTAACCTAGTACTAATTTCCAATTTTATTTATTTTTTTATTTTATTTTTTTTAAGACTGTATTCTTATTAACAATATTGTGGCAAAACCTTGCCTACTGATCACAAATAAGATTTTTTAATGTAAGTGACAAGAGACCAGCTAAAATTGACTCAAGCAAAGAGGGAAAAGGAAGAGGAGGAGGGAGAGGAAGAAAGGGAGTCTATGTTTAATGCAGCTTTTTGGGGGTGGCTTATAACCAATTAATAACCGAACTTTGGAGATATAACCTTGTCTTAGGATTTGCCTGCATTAAAGAAGAAATCATTGACAAGATTGTATAAATTCTGAATACTATACAATTCTTCCTAACTTCTGTCCACCAAAAACCAGTGAGCAGGATCTACAGTTGTAAACCAATTGTATTATAGCCAAGATCCCCACCCTACTTCCCAAACATCAGGCAGCTGTATTTAAGTGTGGGAGACATGCAATGCAAAGGACAGGTTTTTTTGTTTTTTTTTTTTACCATTCATAGAAAAAGTACACTAAATGTGAGCATAACAGAAGTGAAAACATAAATTATTTTTTGAATTCAGGAATAATATTTTAATGGCAATATATTTCCTTAACTAGAACTTTATATTTTCATTGAAAATGAAAGTCTAAGCTAATTTGTTTATTAAGGAATAATTTAATGACAATGGTTTACCTAAAAACAAATGTAAACATATTTACTTTAGGAAAACAGAAGAAATTATCAGCTCTGTATAATTTCTTCAAACTCTTCAGAATTTCTCAAACTATGATTTTTGGAACCATTAACAGATGTATGTCTCACACACACACACACACACACTCGGGCGGTCAAATATGATTCACATTAGTATCTTTTAGAATGTGAGAAATCTTGCAGTAAAGATACTTCAAATTTGTTTAATCCAGCATTTCCCAAAATTAACTTCCTCAAAATTAACTACAGTGTTTCACCTCCTACCCCTACTTCCAAACCCCCATTCCCCAAATCAACTTTTGGGAGTTTGTGGAACTAGTCACATAAAGCAAAGTTTGGGAAACACTAGTTTAGTGGTTTCTATCTACACAGATTTTGCTGTCTGCATAATATGTAAGGAATCTTGAGTGACAATTGCACCCATTTGGATACAACTTCAACTGACTCCATAATTAGAAATTTAAAATGCAAATTTTTCAAAAGCAAACTGCCTTTACCATTTAGAAAAATGTTGCTAAGATTTATTTGGATTTGGGTACAGTCATATTACTTTCCAGTGTATCTGGTACAGGTAATAGGCTCCAAAGGCCTATAAATATTTAACACAAATCTGAAGAGCCATGTCTAAATTTTATATATAAACCTGCCTAACAATTTTAATATGACAAAGGTACTCTGAACTTTTTAAATTTTTTGCAAAAGATGTATATTACGGATTCACGGTCATGGGGGTGAGGACATGAAGCCATTGCTATTGAGCTTCAAATGTGGCAGCAAAGAATTGAGATCATCACCACCTCTCTCTAAATATAATGAAAATCTAACTTTACAACACTCCTCTTAAACGAGCTTTCCTCATGCTACTTGGCTATGCATTAAATCTTGGCATACACACACAAAAAATAAAAACAGTAGTTCTAAAGGTTCATTTATGTTGGCTGGATTATGAAGATTAACTCCTCAGATGCAGTTCTAAAGAAGTCATCGAATGTAAGTATAATTGAAAATAAAAACCTGAAAAACATTTAAATATTGATAGGAAAGTGAATAGATAGGATATAGTCAAGACACCATTCTTTAGATACATAATATCAGTATATGACATAAAGGAATAAAAAATTAATTCTCTAGGGAATATAATAGAGATTTCAGAGTCAGCGAGGCATTTTTTCTGGAAATAATATAGCATACTAATTCTCATGACAGAGGCACGCATGCAGAGTGTACAGATTTAATATATTTAAATATTGGGTCACTTGTGCTGAAGACTTTTAAAATGTGATAAGTTGGGTTTATTATTAACTTTCTAAAGTATTCTAACCCTGGGTCCTAAAGACAGCCAGGTTCTCTTCTCTAAAGTAGCCTGTGGCTTCTGTTGCCTTGCTAATTCACACAAATATTAGCCCTATGCTAAAATGCAGTGTTTCTCAAAATCTGCGTGCTGCTGTTGAAACATACAATGATTTCAGGTGGTCCAGGGAGTATATTCTATTTTAATAATGAAGATAATTATGATAATAATCCAAAAACGGCTACCAGGTACTGTGTGCTGCCAAGCAAAAATTCTAGTATATTAATTTAAATGGACTTCACAAGACCACCATATAGTAGCTACTATTATTATCTCTAATAAATAGAAAAGAAATAGAGGCTCAGAGAGGCTAAGTAACTTGCCCAAAATCACACAGCTGGAAAAGGGAAGAGATTAGATTCAAATTCAAGAAGTCTAGCAGAGTCCATGCTTGTGTTCAGGGAATAATGCTATAACATATAAGTATGTGGGGTATTTTGGGGGGTGGGGTGGAGCTAGAGATTAAGAATCTTCATAAAATGTGAAGTGAATGTTAATAGGCAAATGACAGGTCAGAAATTTGGGTAAATGTCCTGCTGCTGATCTCCTGGAGATGAATAGCTCCAACTTTCAACTTAACAACTTGCAATGTTCTCCAGAAAATTCTCTTGTTCAAATAGAAATCTTTCTACTTTTAAATGTTTTTAAGACATCACATAACCACATTTCTATGGGAAATATAATTCGACTCTGAAAAAGAAAGGGCTTGATTATTGTATATTAAAATTTAAGAAAAAATCAAACTTAAGAGAAAGCTGACAATCAGATCAGAAATATTATAGGAAGCTTCTTGCTCATTTTCTCCAGAGGTTAAAGGAGAATATATTTTTTTTTTAAGAGGGCAGAAGTTTAAGGTTTAGCAAGGGAATAAAGACATGTTTTGTCTGACACTTCCCAAGTCAAATCCAGCATTTATCAAATGATTCTTAAGTGCTGTAAAAAAAAAAAGACAGGACCTGGAAACCTGAGTATATTAAGCTTTCATTATTATAAATTTGTATTTTAAAAACTCAGTATCTTTTTTGTAAATATGCACAGGTTTCTCTGATAATTTATCTTTTTGTAAAACCACCTCTCACTGAAGCATTTTAAATAAAACTCCTATATCTAAAATGAATTCTTGGCATTTGGGAGTTTAAAATCTCCCTAAATTCAGAAGGGAAAAAAGACGGCATAATTATAGTTCATCTGAGTGCAAAGTCATAGAGTAATAAAAAGTACTTAAAACCAAAGAGTAACATCTTAGAATGGCATTTAAAACAAAACAAAACAAAAAAACCCAAACTTACTGGCATTCAAATTTTTTTCATGCAAATTGTTATTCATTAAATCAGAAGAAAATGTGTGCTATCATTTTTGATAAGGCAAACAATATTCAAAATTGGCATTAACTAAACACAACTGGCCACTATGTGAAAAACCAAATGCTTTAATGAGGCTATCAAGAACAACAGTTCAATTATATCATTGGATACATTAATATCGATCCATAATTTACAGTGCTATGGATCATACAGAAATTATTGCTGCATCCAACAGCAGATGACTACATTACAGTACCAAGCGTCCGCAAGAGACAGTCGTTTGTCTTTTTGTTTTCCCAAGAAATAGGGTTTCTTAATACACTGTTATCAACATCAACTTTTCCCCAGTGCATTTAAAAAATATCAATAAGTGCATTCCTTTGTGCTTTTATTTTGTACCTTTTAACTTCCTATGTATTTTATTTGTTCTTATTGCTTTATTATTTAAAAACAACCAGAAAAACTTTGTCATCCTATGTATGACCAGGTTGGTTGTATGGTTTTTGGCAAAGTCAGAAGGTTTGGTATTTCCATTACCTTACCCAGAGGCAGGTGGAGGGTTTGGCATTTTAGTCACTCCACATGGAGGCCCAACCCGGGTCACAATTCTGCACCCAGGGATGGAGGGAGTGGTGTGGATCATTCTCTCATCATAAACGGGGAGCTCAAACCACCACCTCTTGGCTTAATTAGTCCCTAAAATGAATCCACACTCTATTTGGCAAAAAAGAAAGAAATAAAACCACGCCCGAAGTTGCAGCGTTCTCCTGGGCTTACTCACCTGCCACTCCCAGAAATTGTCTCTTAAGAAGGGGAAGGGGGAAGCAGGCGATGATGAGCTCAGGAGATGCGAGATCCAGGACAGTGGTACAAGATGCCATGCTTTCTCTCAACAAAGCTTTCTATAAGGGTTAACCCTGGCCATGTTCCGTGGGCCACGGGCTGGTCAACCTTGCTCTATTTTTAAAAATCTTTCAAATCAGCTAAAGAAAACTAGCATCATACCATTGCAATCTTTGAATTTTGCACCCAGGTCCTCTCTCCCTATATAAATATGAAGAGAAAAATAGACAATGCTATGATTGTATCAATGAACACTATGGTACAATTAGCTGTTCATGCAGATTTGCATCACTATTCTAGGAAAAGAGCTATACAATTAAGGAGGTTGAAAGAATGGGAACTAATTTTCCCTACCCCCTTACATAATAAAGCTATAAAACTGATAGCATCATCAACATTTCCAAGGATTCTCAATGCCCAGCGTGCTTGGGAACTATGCAGTTGATTATTTTCACGTAAGCCAACCATCCATATATCTGACAATCACTCCTTCTCTCTGAATCCTCCAACACCCATCACCAATTCACATTTGACATTTAAACTTTTTTTTTTTTAACCCTCCTGAATAAGGTTTCCTGATGAAAGAAGTTGGCACTCTGTCACTAAAATATATTTAATATTAAAAATATCTGAAGGAAAATTGGAAGCTCTTATATTGTCTACATAGGCACCGTGCTACATGTTCCTCTTGATTACAGCTACCATCTCGAAACTTTCTCCTGCATTACAGTTCAGTCAGTGCTCATCCAAAAAAGACTACTGCTATATTTAAGGCACTTCATTCTGAATGGATATGCTTTATGCTACTTGCTATTCAATTGTAGGCTGCTACTGAGAAATTCCATTCAACAGCCTGGCTCTTAACACCATATGTCATCTGTATAAAACATCTAGGCCTGATAGAATACATGTAACACTACTATTATTGCATAGGACTACACAAGTAGATAATGCACTGAAACTAACTTTACAACATTGCTGCTTGTTAAAACATTGCTATCAAGTAACAGTGATTTGCCGATACAGTATTTCTCTCTTTAAAAAAATTCAGCAAGTTTGCCGAAATAAACCTCAATTCAAATGACCATAATGAGCGTATTAACGCTATGGTTATAAGTCTCCCAGAATATTGCTATTTTTTTATCACTAAAAATAAATATGTAAGTTTATTTTCCCTAGAAAGCAGGTTTTAACCTATTAATACTACATCTTAAGTGTGTGGAAAACAGTTCCAAGTGAGACTGTAATATACAAAATATTCGCAAAGCTCTCTTTAAACACAAGACCTTGCATAAAAGTTTTCTTTCATGTGTGTACAAAGAATGCAGAAAACCACCAGTGAGTTGTAAAAATACTGAAAACTTGCCATTTTAAGATGCATATTCTTACAAATTAATACAAACATACTGAAAAAAATTATGACAATAATCTGTACAAATCAAATGAATAGTAAAACATAATTTAAAAATAAAAATAGTAAAGCCAATTAGAAATGTGCCCAGTTTGGTTTCCTTATCAAAAGCAAAACTGAAGGAAAAAAGAGTAAAACTTTCAGTGCTCCTCAATATTTTACTTTGAAAGAACATAAATTTTCATTTCAAACTAAAATATATCTTATGAAAAACTGAATCATACTAATTGATGAGGAAACTTATAACAGCACAGAGTGAACAATGAGATCCCACGTTTCAGAACCTTGGTCTGTCTCCCTCCAATTTCAGTTGCTCCTAAGTAAGGTATCAATTATGTTTTCTAACCAGACAATTGTCATAAAAATGGCTGTATTTTTTTTTCCTTTTATGGAACATAGTATTTCTTTAAATAGTGTGCAGTATAAAGACTAAATACTGCTAGAAGGGTACTGTATCTTTAAGGCAGTACCGACGAACACATTTACAAAATGGAAAAAGTTAGTGTGGATTTCTTCTTTTCTTTTCTCTCTGTCTCTCTGACTTTCTCTCTTTTTATTTTATTTTATTTTTTGGTTGCTTTACATTCTTTCCATTAAACTTTACATTTAATTTCCAAGGAAGTCGCAGGCATAAAAATCTCAAACCATGTTTCCCCTGAATAAGAATGGACAGAAATTTCTCTGATGCAAAATCCTCTTGCTCAGAAAGCTAACGTCCAGGGTGAATTCAGTTCACAGATACTGTACACTTATTGTACAATACTTTAGAGGCATTTGTAGTTGTAAAATAGAATATACAAGTCTGTTTCACAAAATTCTAAAAATAAAATATATCCTGGGCTATTGATAAAGCATGAAAAAAAATTCATATTAAAGGAAAATTATCAAGAAAACCCCTTCAGGTCAATTATTAAATCTACTAATCAAGAAAGAAGCAGTTTGTGAGAATGCAGAGCAGGGAGGCTTTGCTAACAGGCATGCTCAGTTTCTTCCATGCTCATACTGCTCCTTCGGCTGCTTGTTTTGGAAGCTCCAGGGGACACTGAGGAAAGAAGTGGATCAGTTACGCCAACAGGAGAAAGAGTATCATCCATCAGGATGTCTTCCAGTTTAGATCCCATTTTCGTGGGGACACTATAGGCTTGGCCGCTCTCAGTCCCGGTTCCAAGGTTGTTGTTAAAGGTGATGGTGCCGTCTGTGAGATCGAGGGTTGTTGTACAAGTTAGATCTGCGTGATGCGGAAGGAGGTCTTGGCTGCAGTTCTCAAGAGAAGGTTCTTGCTTGATGATCCGATTCACCAAATCTGGAGAACAGAGACCCGTGGATGGAATAAGGGAAAGTCCATGTGCTCGAGCCTGCATTTCAAGTTCCTACAATAAAAGTGAAAATCAGACACTTAAATAGGTGGAACGCAGAAGATGTCAGGGCAGTGAAACTACTATATATGACACTATACTGATGGATACCGGTCATTTTATATTTCTCCAAACTTGTAGGATGTACCACACCAAGAGTGAATCCTAATGAAAGTAGGGACTTTGGATGATAATGATATAGGTTCATTGACTGTAACGAATGTACCACTCTGGTGGGGATGTTGATAGTGCGGGAGGCGGGGTGTAGGGCGGGGGTAGAAAGCCTTGTACCTTCTGTTTAATTTTGCTGTAAAACTAAGACTGTTCTGAAAAATATTTAAAAATTAGACACTTAGAGGGAAATTGATAAATATTAAAATAACATTTTTTTGCTCTTTTAAATTAATGCCATATTTCTTAGAGTATAAGTACCATCGGTAGTAAAACGAAATGATTTTATGGTGGTATATGGATTTTATTATGCATTAAATGTAAAGACACTCTCTCACAGATGTTAATGTTCACAATGAAGATAAGTTTAAATATATAAAAATAAAATTTCAATATGTAAGCTGATTAAAGGAAAATATTCAGTAAATAATATTATTCCATGGTCTCTAACCTGTGCGCTGAGATATCAAGGGATATAATGAACCCAGAGGGCACTGGGGATATTTTAAAATTTCAAGAAAAATGGTGATACTATTGTGGGAACTGTCATAATCAAGATAGTTTACAGCTTCATCGCTAGATTGTGCTGTATTCTCTTCTATTGCATCGTAGTATCACAAAGCTGGATGTTGGGTGGTGGTTGTGATAACAAGCAAGTACTAAATGAAAATTAATGTGTAATGAATAACAAGGGTCCAATCTGATCCCAACACTCAAGAAGTTATGCGGTGCCCAACAGGAACACATGTCCCATTAGTAAGTAATGTGGTAAGTAAATATTTAAAAATAACATTAAAAATGCAATTTTTCTTTCGAATTACATGTTTTATATCTTCAAATGGCGACTAAGTTGTTAGGACCCAAGAGAAATGGTAGGTATTTCCTTTGGTCTAGAGGTGAATTGTGTGTTGGAAAAGTAACTAAGATACCAAGGGCACTGTAAACTCAGAAAGTTTGGGTAGTAATGGCAAAAGTGGTGAAGGCTCTACACAAGCAACTGAAACTTGAGAAGCATCACTTAGCCCATCTCACCACGAGGAACAGAAACCTTTTTTAATTGCATAAAAAAGTTCTTATCTGTAAGATGACTAATTCCTTCCTACCTTTTCTTCACATTTCATATGTTGAAATCCTAACCTCCAAAACCTCAGGATGTGATTGTATTTGGAGACAGTGTCTTTAAAGAGGTAATTAAGTTAAAATGAGATCATTATGGTAGGCCTTAACACAATATCCAATAGGACTGGTGTCCTTATAAGAGGAGGAGATTAGGACGCAGAGATGCACACAGGTAAGACCACGTGAAAACACAGGGACACAGTGGCCACCTACAACCCAAGAAGAGTGGTGTCTGGCGAAACCAACCCTGCCTACACCTTGATATTGGATTTCCAGCCTTCAGATAACTGAGGAAATAAATTCCTGTTGTTTAAGCCACCCAGTGTGTGGTGTTTGCTATGGCAGCCTGTTGTCTAATTGAATTTGTGGAAGAGACTCCTTCAGTACTTCAAACGTCTTCCAAGCAGGTATTTCCCTTTCTCTTCCTGAGTATCCCTGAACCCATGTAAAATGAACCCTAGAGACCCTGACTGACTCTCTAATGAGCGTTCTACTTTCACATGCCAATGCCATCCTATCTATATTTGTGATACAATAATATGATAATAACATAATATAAATTTGAAGCAAGTCACCTTGGCTCATCAGAGAGAGAAAAGTACTCTCCAACATGATATGGCCTTTCAACCTTTGCCCACAAGCTAGAGATATATGTTTCAGAAATGTCATATTCAATCTATATTTAAGGTTGTTTGATCTGCAAGATCTTTCTTTGGATGCAATAGAAGTAAGAGATGGGAGCCTGAGATGTCACACAAGTATCTGTATGTTCCTTTCCACCATCTCCAGAAACATAAATCTCTCTAGGCATCATTTTAAAGCTCAGGGCTGTTTAATAAAATGGTAGTTCCAATGATATTAAGGCTTCAGGTTTGCTCTTCTGTGAAAATGTCTGCATGTATCACTTAGAGTGAAAATGAAAAGAAGCTGTTAGGTCCAAATTGAAAACATGCACTCTTTGTAAATCTACACCAACATGCTAGCAAGAGCAATCCCCGCCACTCATATTTTTTTTATAATAAAAAATATTTTAAAAAGCCGCATTAAGAGAGGCAAACATCTTACTCTAATCTTTTGTTATTTAATTAAAAATATTTCTCAGCTGACTAAAACATTGCTTAGATTTCTAAATAATGTGATACACCTCATTTGGAGAACTCAGGCTCACGGCATTACAGAACCTTCTAAATTAATAATGTTTTCTATGATATGCAAAAGTTCTAAAGACTGCCTCACAACATCACTGGAAGAAACTAAGATATCATCACCATGGAATTTCTAATTCACATATTTCACAATATTCATATTTCACATAAACAGACATATTTGGAACCTTAAAACCTACAGTTTTAAGCAATTATTATGTTTTATTAATATCTGTATAAGGAAATAACATATTTGTGCAAGCTGCTTTTATAAATGGGTATACTAAGTTTGAGAGATTGAAGACCTACTACTACTTCCTGAAAGGAGGGTACATGGAAAAAACAACGAAGGCCAAGAAAGGGAGAAAGAGGGGGAGGAGGATTTTCAAATTACAGTTGACCTCTACTTCACTACTGAGATTCTACAATGCACGCCCTAGAAAAGAACTGTCTTTGCCTCCCTGCCCCACGGCTGAAGACCACTGCAGTGAAATGCGAGATGTAACATCTAGAAATGTCAGCTCTGTTGTAGGGCATTAAAAAGATCAGAGGCCATTATTATTAATGAATTACTCTGTTAAATACATCCACTGTCCGGGCTTAACACCGCTAGATGAAACTTAATTCTCCATTGTGATGGTATCTGGAGATGGGGCTTTGGGAGATGCTTAGGTCATGAGGGTAGAGCCCTCATGAATGGTATTGGTGCCCTTTTAAAAAACAACCCAGAAAACTCCGTGCCTATTCCACCATGCGAGGTAACGGTAAGAAGACGGTTATTACTGAATTAAGAAGCAGGCCCTCATCACCCACCAAATCTGCTGGCACCTTAATCTTAGACTTCCCGGCCTCCAGAACTGTGAGAAACATATGTTTGTTCTGTAAGCCACCAATCTATGGTATTTTTGTTATGGCAGCACAAACGGACTAAGATAGTCATGTTTCTTTAAGTCACTGTAAACACTGAATTAGTGAACAATGAACCACTACTCCTAGGGGAAATACAGGATTAGGTTCCTGTGAGCCTCTGGTCACATTTTTATCACATAACCTTGTTTCATGTGTGTTTCTGTTTAAAGACCTCTTATTTAATATATAATGTTGATTTATTAACATTGAACTCACAGCCAAAAGCACAACTCATGTCTGGATGACAGTTATTTCCATAAGACATATCACAGCCTTCTTGTGCTTAAGAACACTAGACAACACAAAATCACCCACAAAGAACACAAAAATGTGAAAAACATGGCACTAAATAGATGCAAAAAGGACACTTGTTGATAATATGAGCTGAAACAAGAAGGCAGAGCATCGCCTTGTTCAACCTTAACTGAGAACAAGTGCGTCAAGCAACTCAAATTTGCTGCTCTGCACGTGTCCAAGAATGACCAAGAAAGTGCCACAAATATTGATCTGGGGTTACAAATAAATTTGTATGAGTAGGCAAATTCAGATAGGGAATTCACAAATAATTAGTATCAACTGTATTAGAATCATGTAAGTCAACTCCCTCAGGGCTAATTATATCCTTTCTTTTCCCATCTTAAAGTCAGTAACACGCAGTAAACTTTACACAGCCCATGCCACGTACCTGTATTCTGAGCAACAAATGCCGGTTGGCATGCTCCAGTTTCTTCTGTCGGTTTTCAAGTTCTTTTGCGCGTTGTTGTTCTCGTTGCAACTTTCGGATGTAGTCCACAGATGCTTTCAAAATGGTTCCTTTGTTCCAGCGCATGTCTCTGTGATGAAAATGGAAGGAAACACACTTTTGTATGATTTGAGGCTCAATGAAAATTCAAGACTCAGAGCATGCAGCTTCTAGAGATGTGATTACAATTATAAGTTGAAAATAGCTATCTTTCAGTGAGTTCTTGCCACGTGCTGGACACTGTCCACCCTGTTCTTATATGGGACATTGTGCATGAGTTGAAACAGAGACTATTCAACTTGCCCTATATCACAGAGCTACTATAAGGACTTAAATTTAGGTCTGTAGATTGTGAAGTCAGGACTTAAATTTAGGTCTGTAGATGGCAAAGTCAATATTCTTAACACTATATTAAATAAGTATGACTTCCTAGGACTATAAAATTAACTCAGACAGACAAGGTAAGCTGTGGTAAAAAAAAAAATTCTGCGAGTTCTCACTGCTTGATTGTATTTGGCATAAAAGTGTCATCCTCGGATTTTATCATGAATTTTCATGGGCAGGTTATCTAACTTCTGTCTTCATTTCTTCATCTATAAAATGCTGATACTACATTTATAAGAGCAGCCTCATACATGTGTTATTGGAATCAAAGGAGGCACTTTATATAAATATGCAGTGAAAAGTTTAGAATACAACTCGAATAATGGAGTGACACTTAAGGGCTCAATATAATAGCTACTTTTAAATATTAAAAATATTTAAATACCTGGCATTTACTATGTACCAGGTACTTTTAAAAGTATTTTAAAGCTCATTTAATCATAACAACCTCAGTGGGTAGGTACTAATATCCCCATTTTACAGACTGGGAAACTGAGGCACAGAAAGGTTAAGTAATTTGCCCGAGGTCATGCAGCCAGAAAGCCTAGATAAACTGGCTCCAGACTCCATGCCCTAAACCACCATTTCATTCTTCCTCTTATGTGACTGAGTCCTCAAAACAACTAGACTAGGTATAAATATTCTGACCCTCCTCCTTTTTCTTAAGAGATGAGAAAAATGAAACACAAGAACTTAAGTGTCTTCCCCACGGCCAGACATTTAGTAAGGGACTCTTTTGGAATTCAAACCCAGGGAGCCTGAGGTCAGTGCCTCTGTTTTTAATCACCATACCACTAATGTATTTATATATGAGAAAATTTAAAATGCCATTAAAATGTAGGTAAAAGTGAGCCAAAAAATTTAGAGCACTCCAGAAAAATAATTAAGAACGTAATTATAATTACATAATATTTCTATGGCCCTTTAAATTCATCTGAGCCCTTTAACAGATAATATTCATGATGATAATGACAGTGATAATGATGAAAACAAAAACAATTTAATGTATGCAAAATCTTAATCTATAGCTAGTAAAAGCAGATCGGAAGTATCAGGTGGGACGTGTGAATGGAAGGCCATTAACACAAGCCACCAAGTAATTGATCCTCATATGGGTTAGACGCAGAACAAAACAGAAGTTCTCCTGTGGGAGGCAAAGTTACAGCCTTGGGAGAGTTACTGGGGGTTGATCCCTGGGGTCTGAACACTAAAGATGGCAACCCAGGAGGTGTCCTCAGATATTCAGACTGAGCACTGAGCCAACTTGCTTATTGTTCAGGGCTAAGATCAAAGAAACAGAAACTTTAGAAGCCAGAGAGAAACGTAACTATAATGAAAGGTGTCTTAACGCAAACAGTAAGGTTAGAAACCAGTTACTGAATTATGTACACAGCTACTCAGTTTTTAAGAAGTGACATTTCAACAAATTATCTTGTGTTTTGCTTCCTTAGGAGACCCAACCAATTAATTATGCTTCTGGGCTTTAAAAAAAAAAAAAAAAAAAAAAAGATTTTTTTAAACTTTTTTTTGGTAGTGAGAAAGACCTTTTTTTTTTTTCACACAGAAGCGTACATAGATCTCTAATATATAAATCAATAAAAGCAGATTTGCTCTAGAGAAGGAGGAAATGTGGGGCTGAGGCACTGATTGGCTGGATTGTATCTCTACAGCAGCCCCAAAGTCTGTTTTAGAAACCTGGTATGGGAAAACTCCCATCATAGATTATAGCTCATTTTATATTAAAACAATACCGGCAATTAAAGATCATTATCAGTTCAGATTATAAACACATAAGTATGCTGATACAATGGTGAAAGAAGATATGCAAATAGAAGCGTTCACTTCAGCCCCATAATTTCATAATATGTTCCTAAAGAGATTCACATGCTACAGTTTAAAAGAATATGCTAAAAAGTGAAAGCTGATAAAGGACAGGAAAACGGGAATTCAATTTCAACTATCATGCAAGACTGACTAAAGGAAATGAAGGTCACAGCCCCTAAGTAGGATAAATTTGTGCTGCAGAACTGAGAATTTGAATGTTTGGAGTTTCAAAATGGCTTTCCTTGAAAAACCTGGGAAAGCAAAATGTTGATGATGGAAATTGTGCATGAACATTCATCAGGGCCACCTTACGATGGGCAATGGTTTTATTTTATTTTGTCACAAATTCCCTGACAATAATGTGAACAGCAAATTTAATAAGCCTTGCATGAATAATGCTTGATTTCATCTTTACATTTTATTAGGTAGCTAAAAGGTCATATTCACAGGCTAATTTCATAGAAGGCCTGTGGGAGCCATTAAAGTATATAGATCCTCTACTCCTTCGTTCAAATGGGCCAATTTCTAATGGATAAAAATTGTGTATTTTTTGTCCTATTTGCTGATGTTGCTAGCAGGAAAATTATCTTTAAAACTGTAATCTCTGAAAGGGGGGAGAGGAGAGAGACTGAAAGCTGAAATCTCAATTAGCTGACTCGTCCTTAGAAGAAGATTAAAAATTATTTTTTTTAGAAGGGTAAAACATACAAAGAACATGCAAGCTTTCAAAAACAAAACAAAACAAAACAAAACAAAACAAAACAATTGACTGATATTATTAAACTTGAAGTCTCCAACGTCGGCTCTTAGTACCTGGAGATATTGTATGAGTTGAAGAACAGTCAACAAATCTTGCTTTAACAGCTACTAAAATCTCTGTCCTGTATAAACTGTTAAAATAATTTTATTTTTTAGCAACTTGGTGTTTATTTGCCAAGGATTCTGAGATTTCAGAAAGCTACCTCCTCACACCTAAAGCTAATAAACATGTCCAATCATCCTTCTGTACAATTCACTTTATTTCTCTTGAAATTTTAGTTTGATGAGACTAACCAAAAGACAGGTGTAAGAAGGGTTTAGGAATGAAACCAAAGAGAGTGAGAGAACATCTTTACACCAGTTTTTATAACTGCACCCTTTTTGCAACACACGAAAAAACATTAAGGTACGAAAAAATATATGATGCAGATTAACACGCAATTGTACTCACGGATCATTTGACTTGGGAATCAAAGTACCTAGTTCTTTAATGCGGTCATTTATGTTAAATCTTCTTCTTCGTTCAACTTCAAGAAAAGAGCACAGAGGAACTATTAGTAACAGCACCACATTTGCGTTACTGTATCTCATTAAAGGCATGTGTGTATTAACTTCACAGGTCAGAACCATGTAAACCTGAACCTACACTTCTCTGTTTTTACCATGGTTTTGATACTGAGATTAAAACACTTTTTAAAATGAGCTACCTTTTATTATTAACAAAGCTCTGAGATATCCATTTTCTCATTGGATCCTCTAACAACCCTGAAATTGGAGTTACTATCCTCAGTTACAAATGGCAAAACTGCGTTAGACATATTTGGACTTGAAGACACCCAATAATACATGGGAAAGGCCCAAACTCAACCCTGATCCTCCAGCCCAGGGGTGGCAAGCTTTCTGCAAAGGGCCAAATGGTGAGTACTTCTGGCTTTGCAGGCTAAATGGCAAAAACTGAGGCCATTATGTAGGTACTTACATAATAGGAGAAAAAACAGATTTCTACAAATTATTTATTGACAAAAGTCAAAATGTGATAATATTAACCAGGTACAATTTTTTTTTTTTTTTTTTTGCAGAGCCAGTCTACTACTAACAAGAAGTATTAGTTGCAAAAATTTGGATTTTATATAATTTTCACATATTCCAAAATATTATTCTTGTTTTGATTTTTTGAAACCTTTTAAAAGTGTAAAAAACATTCTTAGCCCACTGGCCATACAAACACCCCTGCCTGCTCTAGCCTGGTGCTGCCCAATAGAAACAGAATGCAGGTTACATATGTAATTTAAAATTTTCCAGTAGCCACATTAAAAAGTAAAAAGAGGTGAAATTAACTTTAATATTTTATTAAATCCAATAATCTACAATATTATCATTTCAACATGTAACCAATTCAATATTTACATTCTCCTTTCTCTATTAAGTGTTTGAAATCCAGTGTGTATTTTACATGTGCGGTACATCACAATTTGGATAAGCCACATTGCAAGTGCTTGATAGGCAGATGTGACGAGTGGGTACAGTACTGGGTAACACAGCCCTAGAAGTTAAGTCCAGCATCTTTAACTATACCATGCATCCTAACAGCATTCCCGTCTTATAAATCCAGTGGTATGTTCAACTAAATTATCACCTTCTTAGGGGAGGGTGAAGTAGTAAAACATGAGTTAGTAAATGTTTCTAATTTGCTTGTAGTCTGGCAAATAAATTCCAAATAACTTAAGGTCTAGTATATTGAATTAAAGATGTTAATATTTTACCTTAAACATATCATAACCTAATGCACTTTTATTAGGTTATTTTGTATAACCTAATACATATTTATATTTGACCCACATAGACAGATAATATTATTCACTACTTTCTCAATATATGTTGCATTTTTTAAGCGGAGTGATTAATTCTATGATTGAATCAATTATATATTACTGTCTTATCATGAGACTTTTATAAAACAGAAATAGTAAGTGATAATCAATGGTTCTGAAGAAGATATTTTTGGACCTCTGATCTTCTAGAAACCTCCAAGCATGAGGTTTTCTTACTTTTTCCAAATTGAAACATATAAAGTGAAATAAAAATCCCCTATGATCCAGATATGACCACTGTTAAGTGTCTTATATATATCCTTAGTGATTATTTTTACACTCTAAAAATAAACATGTGGCACCCAAGACATAGTTTTTGGGACTCTTGATCCACATTCACTTCCTGGTGATCTCATTAAGTCTCATGGTTTCAAACATCACATACACACTGATACTTATATCTCATACTTACACATCCAGCCCAGACAACTACCTGGAACTCCAGACTCATACATCTGACTACTACGTGCCTCCATACGGAGGTCTAATGGGCGGCCCAACACTCCATACATGAGCTCCTGGTCTTCCCCATTCAAATGGCTATACCCATAGGCCTCCCCACCTCACTTAATATAATTCCATCCTTACAGCTAGCTGTTTAGGCGTGAACCTTGGAATCAATTCTGTACTTCTGTTATTCTCATATCCCACATGTAATCCATCATCAAAATCTGTTGGTTCTGCTTTTAAAATATTTCCAGAATCCGTCCATTTCCAACCTCCACTACTACCTGATAGAAGCCACCCTTTCTTGCCTGCATTATTGTGATTCTATTAACTGGTATTTGTGTTTCAGCCATGCCCACTGCTCCCTATCCACTTTAGTCTATCTAGAATACACCAGCCAGAGGGGTCCTGTTAAAATATAATTCGGAGCATGCCATTCCTTTGCTGAAAACCCTGCAATCACTTCCCATCTCACCTAGACAAAAGTCAAGTCCTCAAGGTATCCTACAAGCATCTGGTGGGCTCTTATCCCTCTGACCTCATTTTCTATTCCTCTCCTATCCTGACCATATCTTCGATTGTGACTTATCTGTGTTCCTCCTTTAACTCCATGAGCTTCTTGCTATTCTCAACTAAACCAGATACACTCCCCACTTTAGGACTTTATACTGCTATTACTCTGCCTGGAATACTCTTCCCCCAAACACTTGAATGGCTCTGCTCTCAACTCTCTCATAGTGACTCAAATTGACCTAAGAACCTTCCCTGACCACCTTATTTAAATCTGAATCACCAACCCAAAGCCCATCCTCACACTCTACCCTCATGGCTACACTTTGTCTCCTCATAAAACTTTCACCATCTGATATCCACATAATTCATTCATTCACCCATTCATTCATAGAACTTTCTAATATCTAATGCCTGCATATTTTATGTATGTATGTAATATGTGTCTTTGTTCACTGATGCAGTCCAAGCACCCATATGAGCCTGGCACATAACAGGCCCTCAGTAACTTATGTATTAAATAAAGAATGATACAGTTACAGTAGAATACTAAAAATGATTCTGCATCTATCTTTTCTTATCAGCATATTTTTGATATCTCTCACTGTGAACATTTAGATATATCACATTTTATTTTTAATTCATTGCCTTCCCTCCCCAATTATTTTTTTAATTTAAAAGTGATATAAACATGTAAAAAATTGAAAAATATATAAAAGTGTATAAAGGTAAAGAAAAAGCCACCTCTTTACACAATCAATCAAACACCTATATGTGCCTAAGGAAATAGTTAATGATGTCCGCCTCCTACACACACATCCATATAAACACACACACACACACACACACATCCCTATATGGAATGTTCTTTTTACATAATGGGATAGTATACATATTATCCTACTATTTGCTCTTGTCACTCGGTAACATATTGTAGAAATCGTCTAAGTTAGGTGAAACAGACTAACTCCATTCTTAAAAACCACTGAGTATACCTTATGTGGATGTACCACAATTTATTTACAAATCCTCTACTGATGAATATTAAGAGTATTTCCAAGTTCTCCTTTTTCAATGGTATAATAAACATTTTTGCCAGTACGTTTTATTCCTGTTATAATACTTACCCTATGCTGAAAGGGAATCACCTTAATGTATTTGTTTGTTCATCTACTCTGTCTGCCCCTGACTCAAATGTAAGCTCCCAGAGATGGGAAATCTGTCTGCCTGGTTCACTTCTGCAGAAAAATGCCTCACACATAAGGGGGGCTCAATAAAAAGTTATGAGTGAATAAGTGGATGTGTTCTTTTGTGCATTTTGGCAAACACACTTACAAGATAAATTCCTAGAAGAGGAAGGGCTGTGCCAACAGGCAATTTCACTTTGAGTATTAATTTCTAATGGTTAGTGAGATCTTTAGGATAGTTTTATAGCCCTCAGCATTTGAGTTAATCGTGTTTACACTTTAATGACAACCATGAGTTTGAGAGATTAGGTGCCCAAGTAAAGGTGAATATTGTTTTGACAAGATTTGGATAATGCCTAATTATCTTATTTCTAAGGTATTTTAGGAGAACTATCTAAGAGTAAAATTACTTAGAAGCTAGAGGAAACTTTAGAAATATTAATCCAAATCTTTTGGGTGAGAGATTAAGAAAGCATCTCACAACTGAAATGGAAACTGAGAAGGGTAGTGTCTATTAAAAGAAAAAAAATCACCCCCTCTAGGACCCAGCAATTCTACTTCCCAGTACCTAACCTGGAGAAACAAACTCCCTGTGCACAGAGGCATACACGCAAATGTTCACTGTGGCATTGTTTATAAAACTGGAAACAACATAAATACTTAGCAGTAGGTGGATTGCTAAACATCACACAGCCAAACTGTGGAATACTATGCAACAGTTTTTAAAAAGTAGATCCAGATTATTAACAGCAAAAGGCCTTCCGGACATACTGCTAAGTAAAAAAGCTAATAGCAACAAACATGGACAATATACTGTTTGTGTTAAATCATATACAAAACAAGAATTTTTATTCTCTGTGTGCATGTGTATGTGTGTGTATTCTTAAATACATGAAAAGAGGTTGGGAAGACGGACAGCAGACTGAAAAATAAAAAAGATTACTCTTATGATCAGCGGAGAACTCTGGCCTTACTCTGTCGTTTTAAACACTGGCCTTAATCTAGCATTTTTATAAGGACAAAGTTTATACATAAGTTATATTCTTAAAAATCAGTTTAGAAAAAAGAGGACAGGAGGTCATGAGATGAGAAAGTCACACAAATGCAAACTATATCCCACCTCTAAGCCCAATCACTTTTTTAACTGTGTAGCCTGTTATCGTTTATAAAACAAAAATCTTAAGTTTTTATGGGAATAGCCTAAAGATTTGATCAAGAGTAAATTAAATACATAAAAATAATTTTAAATGTTTAAAGATCTTTTTTTTAAATCATAGATAAAGTCAGAAATTTGGGAGGCTATCTCATCCATTGATTAATTCCTCCCCAGATATTTCACTTTTTTTCTTTCAAATCTCACTGGAGAAGGTGATCCCAAAATCTCCCTTTGTTAATAAGTTCCAGTGTGAGCAACACTTATAATTGGGTAGTTGGGGATCAAGTCTCCCTCTCACATACACACATACATGGAGAAAAAAAAAACATTACTATAAATAAGGAAAATAAATAGTCTTTAGGATACTGAAAAAAAAAAAATTCGATTTGATCTGAGATAAAATATGGGAAACAATATATATCTTGGTTTCTCTGAAAAAAATTTTGTTCCATAAAAGGTACTTTTAACAGCTATAGAAATCAATTTCCCTCTAAAATTTCTGAAAAAAAATTTTAATATAAAGGGGAACATCACCTCCAATATCAAGTGTCATAGACATAAAACCAACTTACTCAAGTTGTGATTGTCCTTTTTTTGCCTCTCTTTAGCCAACGCTCTTGCTTCAGACTCTGTGGGAAAAATACACGCTGTGCACGTGAATGAAGTAATTAGAAACTGGAAATGTTCAAGGCACACAATAATGTAAATGACAAAACATCTCATTTTCTAAACATATGGACACTTATCTGACTTGCCTGTAAATGAAACTAGGGTTTTTAAAGTTATGACTTTTAAAAAGCTTGCATTTTTTCAATAGCAATATATATCAAATAAATGCAAAAACTTAGCTGCTACAAAATGGTAAAAGACCAGTAACAAGTATGTCTGACACACTGTAAACATACAGGTATGAACAACAACAACAAAAAACTAGAAAATATGGAAATTTGTTGTTGATATTGTATTAACAGGAGTCAAACTTTCTTTTCAGGCAACAGAACTTTTCGGTCTTTCTTTGATGCCTTTGTAACACACTAACATGAAAACTTACAGACAGTGAAGTATATATATCTATATATATTAATTATATGTGTACTATTATATATATTTTACATATACCTAATTCATAGGCTGAATTATTTCAATTGGTAAGGCCAATCCAAATCATTTTCTACCTTTTCTTCACATAGAAGCGTTACAGGCTTTTATTTACATATTCTCCAATTTAATATCTTAATATTTATGTTTGTTTCTTTTTGTTTTTTGTTTTCAGCTTGCCATTCACACCCATGGTTCTTTGCTTATCAAATTCAACTCACCAATTGTGGACCAGCTCTGGTCAGCGTTACCCAGGGAACCTCTTTGCCATTTAGTGGGCTGTAACCACAGCCTCCCCAGTGAGGTTAGACTCTTGGTCCTGGGAAGGAAGGTTCTCTCCCAGGTTTAGGTACTCCCCTGCAGCCTCAGGGCACTCTTTAGTATTTAAGCACTCTTAGTAGCTAATTGCCTGTATGGGGTTAATGAATCTTTATTTTAAACCTTCCCTGTTCAAATCACTGTGTGGTTTCTACTTCCTAACTGGACCCTAATACAGGTGGGAAAACTGGACTTAATAAAGACAATCCATCCCCTCCACCCCTTTAGGTCAGATCTCTAACTCTTAAGCCTATTCTCTTTTGGTAGCGCCATGCTGCCCCTTGAGCTATCAGTGGAGAGAACCCCAAATTCCTGTCCATTTTCTCCTTTTCCTGTCATTTTACCCTTGTCCTGGTTGACTGGTCATTTTGTAAGAGACCAGTGACTCTAGAAATGTATTGTCCATTATACCTGCTTTAAAAAAAATAAATTTATACTCCCTTTACTCATTTTTCCCACTCCCCACATTTTGCCTCTGTTGTTTTCGAAGAAACAATCATACATATAATTCAAAACTCCACTTTGCACTCAAGTAGTAAGAATTTTATTCACGTCACTCTAACTATATTTTATCATTATTTAATATAGATCTCATTTAGCAGTATTTTCTAAGAGATCATGGTACTTCAGGGTATCTACTTGTTTGTTGGGTTTTGATGGCTTTTGATATTAATTATTTACCTTAACCAAAATCAGTAATTTTTTTGTCTTTGTCCTGCAACAATTTTCTGAAAAAAAATTTTTTTTAAAGACATCCTTGAAAGGATAGGAATTTTTTGTACCATATCTACATTCTATATTCTCAGTCTGTTCACAATCCTGCAGGATGCAAGGACCAGATAATAAAATGGGGGATAAGGTGAGGACCATAAAATTCAGCATGGTAGAATGCCAGCTCTAATATAGTTTCATCATGTTTTAATGGCCAAATGCTTTCCCTAAAACATTAAACGAAATGGCAAAATAGGTAATTTCATACTTGCCTCAAGAACAAACAACACTGCTCTATTTTATAATTTATTTTTTACTCTGTAGAATAAATCTTTTGCACCTGATATAGCAAAAATAACAGCAGGCATCTAAAGATATAAGAGCTATATTCTTACCCTATCCCAATGGTGGACTTAAATGTCTGTCAAAGGAAAATTCAGACTAGGATTCTCAGACTCAAAGCCTCTAGGGGCTTGGCAAGTAACATAAACACCAGACTGGGTGGAGACGTTTTACAACTGAAAGTGTTGTCTGCTGCCCCAACCCCAAAGTGGACAGCAGTCACAGATATAATGATGGGTATAGCATACAGTAATTGTGCCATGGAGTAATGGCAGCCCTGATTCCCAGTATCGCGAATACTGAAAATCAGGTTTTTCAAGTATAAATCCTCCATCATAAAATATTTCCCAATGTTTTAAACACTGCCTAGACTTAAGAAAAAGTAGGCTTGTGAGTTGGAAATAGTCTGGAGGTCACTATTTTGACAACTTTATTAGAAAATTAACAGAAAATCTCTAGTAAGTGGCACCTTTGCTAGGTATTTACCTGTAAGCTCCCTTTTTATGTTGGGAAGGTTGGCTGGACAAGAGTTGCTGATGGTGAGGCCTGGGGGCGGCAGTCCTTGATTGCCATAAAGGTCAATCAAGTTTCCAGAGACAGGTAACTAGGGAGAGAAAAACAATGGAAATGAATTGTTGAACAATTCCTAAGTTATTCAGCTAAAACTCATATCCTATTCCAGACTTTATTTAAAATAAATTGTTTGATGTAAAATCATTCTTTAAAATCAGAAAACATGAGATGTTTATCTTTCCATTCATTCAGTTATATAGTCTCCTTAGCTAGTTGCCTTTGCAAGAGGAAAGGATGCAGAATCTCACACCCACGAATGACTTTACTACCTAGTTTATAGGTTTATTCTGAGCATAGAGACAATGGATAACATGGCAAACTCACTTTCTAGCATATCTAGTAGCATACAGCAGATGTTCAGTAAATGCTGGCTATTATTGTAAAATAGTGTTCTATATGGCATGACTTCTTCACCAAATCGAGTTTTTCATCAAAGCCAATTTTCTTCCTTTCCTCTCTCTTACTCTCTTCCTTTTATAAGGAAGAGCAATGAAAAGTGTTTTCTTATTGAAAAAGAAATGCTTTCCTATTGTTAAAGAAAAGCTATTTCCTTGAAACTGAAATCTTCCACAAAGCCACAAGAGGGAGCTCACTGACTTTAATAAAACAAAAATTTACACTTAGAAAAAAAAGGGGAAAAAAAGTATTTAGTTTAGTCAAACTAGCTTAGGAGTGTTCTTCTGTAGTTCTGAATTGAATATTTTAAAGTCATGAAATTATTTTTTCCTAGCATTGACTTCCTTTTGTTGTATATGCATTTCCTTGTAACTAGTTCATGGCAAGAGTTTGATGTGCCCATTTTTGTAGACATAACAGGTCCTAGACGTTTCTTCTCACTCCCTGAAATAAAGTTCTAAATATTAACTACTAGGACATAGTTAAGTGACCTCTTCTGCCTCAGAAACTTCCCATTTTCAGTTTAATTCAACTCCTATAATTATACCATGTAAGACTGTATATCATTTAGCCCTTCTCCTCCTTGATTACACATTCTGAATTGTACTCTACATGTGAGAAAAGTAAATTAGGATAGCATTTAAATGTAATCAAAATATTTAGTGACTGAGAGGTATTGAGTAAAATTGTACTGCAATATTCTACTTTTCATTCTATCAAGTAGTCCTTAACATACAGATGAAAATATCTCACAAAATAAAGGTAGAATCAAATGTGTTTCTTCTCACTGGTAGCCATCAGCTATCTATTTCTATCATGACTTCTAAATAAATACAAACTAAACCCTTAGCTAAAGATATGAGAGAGGGCTGTACACAGAACAAGATTCTTTCTGACAGGTTAATGTGACACTTGTTCTGATATGACTAGGTTGGGGCAGGAGGACAGACAGACCAATAGAGCACATCTCTCCCTTTTCCACTCAGTCTTCTGTTCCTTTTTGAAGGCAGGATTAATATCATGTATATAAAATGTAATACAAGTTTCCCACTACACAGATGCATATAAACAATGCACTGTGATAATTTAAAATTCCCCTGAACCACATTTCAAGGCCTTCTAGCTAAGAAATTGATTAAAAAAAAAAAAAAAAAAGGAGTCTTGGATTATTAGCTGTCATTTCACTAAATCATTTTATTTGAAACAGGTCACCTTCTTAGGATCAACCTTGCCCAGTGTGTATTCAGTTTTATTCTTGTCCAGCTTAACAGAGCAGAGTGAAAAATGTTGAAATGTCTCAATACAGCACTATAAAAAGTCAGAGGGTCAAAATTTTAAAGCTGCTATGACATCTCATAACCCCTGTAGATTCCAAAGATTTATTCTCCTATTTTTTAAAGTTTCACATTTTGGGAGAACTATTGGATATTAATAAACCAAGAATGTGACTTCAAAATTCAATACAACAAGCTAAAAAAATTATTCCCATAGCTCTAGAAATAGAAATAATATATATCATATTTTCAAATGCAAATTGCAAGCAAATTGTTTTATTATGCAATTGTTTTATTATGATGATTTGTTAGAGAAAAATAACAGGCGATTGATAAGTATAGCCAGCTTTAAAAAAACCCTCTAAGTCATCAATGGATCTACATTGAACAGACATCTAATTATAAGCTTCTCCAGGACAGGAACATATTTTCTAACTATATTCTAAAGGGAAATGATATGTATGCATTTACTTAATAAATGTAGAATCACAGAAAGAGATACACACACACATACATACAGAGAGACAGACAGACAGGGAGAGAGGAGGATGAGAGAGAGGGAGAGAAAGAATAAGAGCATGTTAAAAACTGGAAATAAGACAGAGACAGACACAGGGTTGGGGTGGAAACAGGAAGAGAGAGTCACACATAGGCAGAGGGGAGAGAGATGAAAAAACAGATGAACAGACAGATGAGGCAGGGTAGGGGAGACAGTGAGCAGACTGGGGAAGACCCAGAGAGAAATGGATTGAGAGGGGGCTAAAAACTTAAGAGAAGATGGCTGTGATTGGTATGAATTGACGGTGCCCACCAAGAAGGAAGAGGACTTAAAATCTCTGTAACAAGATGCCTTATCTTGTCCACTAAGGTCAGACATCATTACTTTCAGGCAAAAAAAAAAGCAGCTTATAACCCTCTATCTAGTCCTATAAAAAATTTTCCGCTTAGGCTGCTTTCCAATATTTGCCAATTAAGAGTTGTCAGCATAGAGCCTGCCAGACTAATTTGCTGGAGAAAACTGAATTTTGTGGGTACCTACTCTGTGCCAGGCATAGAACTAGACAAGAACTTTATATAAGTTATATTACTGGTTTTACAGAAAGAAAAGCTGTTTTAGCTATCTGAACAGAGGTTTTTGGTAAGATGTTCAAGTCCCATGTTTATAGCAGTATTTGGGGTCAGCATTGAACTGCTGATGATGTTAATCAATTAGAAACTGCAGTTTTCAATTAATTTCCAACTGGACCTGAGCAATTAAAAATCTCGTTGCTCCCTAGCCAAGTGTGGATACTCAAATTTATAAATTAATAGTGCAGCGATTTACAAAGTGGGTTTAGGAGTCAGATGCCTGAGTAAAAGCCTGCCTCTGTCACTGACCTGCTGTGTGCCTTGAACCTGTCTGAGGTGTGGTGTCCCCCTTTGAAAAGTGGCAATCATATCTCTCAGCTCATGGGTTTTGTAAGAATTAAACAAGATAAAACAGGGAAAACAGTACCCTGCACTTAAGCTATCAATAAGTTGTTGTTTAGTAATATAATTTTCTAGAAAAGTTCTGTATTCCCAGTCTATAGGTTGGACAGTCAAGCTAATTTTCACTCTGCTCCACAAAACCACCTGCTGTGTTAATTACCAAGTATCACGTCAACTATTAAACCAATTTTACCAGACTGCAATGCAAACCTAAACACAGGAATCAAGAGATCTGCAGGGCTAAAGTGATCACTCAGTATCCTAAATCAGTGCTTCTCAACTAGGGGTGATTTTGTCCCTCTAGAAGACATTTATCAGTGTCTGGAGACATTTTTGGTTATCACAACTGGGAGGCAGAGAGGGTGCTACTGGCATCTAGTGGGTGGAGGCCATGGATGCAGCTAAACATCCTACAATGGACAGGACAGCTGCGCACAGCAAAGAATTATCCATCTCGAATGTTAACAGTGCCAAGGCCAAGAGACCCTGCCCTAAATGGTTGCTTATATTCTTCGTATTAATAGCTGTTATTTGTCAAAGCCACTAAAAGGAAAGTTGATTAAAATGATATGGCTTTCTAAAAAATTGGAAATTAAAAATTAGTCTCCTAGCCATGCATATTTAAGAAAGAATTCTGTGGTTCCCCTTCTTGGTCAGAAAAATTCCCCCATAAACACAGTAAACAGGTGAAAATAATACCTATGGAGTTAAGGAAGAAGAAGAGGCATCTTCTGTTAACATGGACATGCTGTATCTTTGCTGGGTTTTTATCCAGCACGTTAACCTGATGGACAAGATTTCACTTCCAGCACACAAGTTACACAATGAACAGATGAAAGCCACAGTCTAATCCAGATAAACAGAGAAGGCAGACACATTTGAGTGTGTGCCCCAAACTTGCTCTGAATTGAGTTTTTCAGTGTTATGCTACACCAAAATGAATATTTTTCCAAGTAAATCATCATTGTAAAATGTTATTATGTTTTTTTCTTTGGATAGTCCCCTTCTTTGAATATCAATTGGGTACTGTTAGCACAAGTAAACTGGGACTTTTATTCTTTGTTTGTGATGCTACAAGAGGGCCCTTGTGTTCTCAGAATAGTTATTTCTAGACTCTGATTCCCTTAGGATAGTTTCCTTTCTAAGTGTTCCTTCCACTTTTTTTTAAAGTTAACTTGAAACAAAGCATTTCAAAGAGTCAAATAAAAAGGAAAAATGCCTAACATGAGAAACATTGTTTAAACTTTACTGCAGAAAAATTTTTATTAAGCGTTAGTAAGATGTAATAGCTTTGTTATTTAATTTTGACAGCCAAAACACAAATATATCATAATAAGAGCTAGTAATTAACATTTAGTGAGAGCATATCAGGGCCAGGACTGTTCTAAATGCTTTTTTGTAGATTAACGCTTATAATTCTCACATGGATTCTATTGTTTAGATGCTATTCTCCCCATTTGCCAGACTAGGAAAGTGAGGCAGAAAGGTCAAGTAACTCACTCAAGAGTATGTGTTGAATTCAGATGTGTGGCTCAGAGTCTGTGTCCCTAACCTCTATGTTATGCTGTCTTTCCCCAGTAGCAAAATGCTAAAATAGTTTTCTCATAGGAAGGCTCTAATGGGGCCACTTTTAGCCTTTTCCAAGGTAGTAATAAAGAAATGGACATGGGGACAAAGTCTGTGACTTCTGAGGGTGACTACAGGTTACTACTCCTCTCCTGGCTGGGAATTAATTAAACTCTGCACAGAGGATCTTTCCTATTTGGGAACTCCCTTGAGAGAGCCTCCCTGCTCCTGATTTATCCTTCTCCATTCGAGGTCTCTGTGGCCTCCCATTTCCAGACTGGTGAGCCCTACGAGAACTGGAAGCATAACTTACTCATCTGTAACCACGGCACCTTGCCCAGTGCTGGTCACATATTAGGCATTTAATAAATGCTAAACCAATCTTAAATTTAGTTCAGGAGCAATTAGATAATAAAGGAATGAGATTGACTGAAGAGACATATGTATTCAGTCTAAAGGAGAAAAGCAAATGGGGTCATGACAGCAATCTTCAGAAGGGTCGTCATGGGGAAAAGTTCTCCATAAGGCACACTGGGAACCATGTCTGGAATTCATAGAGACTCGCTGTGGGGAATACCTGGACTATTAAGTATGATGTTATTCTATCATAGAGTTGGACACGTAGGTACTCAATAAATAGCCCTGAATAAAATACTATCACAATTATTTGTCATTATAATAAATTACACTTAATAATTTAGATATTGTTGAGGTAGGGACAATTATCAGTCCCATTTTGTGGATAAGGAAATTTAGGACTTCAAGAAGCTAAGTAACATGCAATGTCACACCATAAATGTCAGACTTAGGATTTGAACCCAGGTCTGGTCACAAATCTCCAACTCCTAACTATTGCGCTTTACTGCTTCTCTTGTGAGTTAGTGTATATCTTTCATTGGAGGCTTTTGAGAAGCTGAATATCTGATTTCTTTTTTTTTTTTGTAAGGGATACAGAGGATATACAAGAGGAATGTAATCCAATGAGCGAGTTCTAGGTTGGTTCTGATGACTTTAAAGGTCTCCACCATTGGAGAAAAACAAAAGCAATGAGTTTTTTAATCATATCAATTCTACAGTTCTCCTGAGTGTGCCCACTAGACACCACTGGCAAAGTGACCACATTCATCAGCAAAGTTCTTCTGGGATGCCTGGGCCACTGCTAATTAACACTGCTAGGGCACTGAAAACATTATAAGTATACCCATGTCTTTGGGTATATTTATAAATTCCCTAAGGCAAACTCCCCCAAGTTTGCTCATGTTTGTCCCAGGATTTTGACTGTGGACAAGTATAGTCTGCCTCACAAGAGGCACAAAATTGGAAACAGCAAGGTTCCACAGAAGCAAACCAAGGGCTCGAAGAGGGTAGGGAGAGTTTGACATGGAAATATTTGTCAGGATGGTAGAACATTTAATTCTTTCAAAACCAGGAGATGAATTTAAATGAATAGGAAGGTGACAAAAAACAAAAGATTCTAGAAGAGGCTTTGAAGTTTTAAGAGGAGTCTTCACTCCTCCAGACTTCAAGTAAGTGAACTTAAAGAACTGGATCAAGGTGGAAAACAAAAGAAAATACTAACTATAAAAATTTAGTTTACTAATAATTTAGATGTAAAGAATTAAGGGTTATCATGTTCCCTGGCCAAGAGAATTATTATAGAAATTTAGTCTTTAAAAAAAAAAATTATTGTGGTTAAAAAAAACCATATATACATATATATATACATATATATATATGTATATATATATAAAACATAAAATTTACCATCATAACCATTTTTAAGTGTATAGTTCAATAAAGTTAAGTATATTCACATTATTGTGAAACAGATCTCCGAAACTTTTTCATCTTACAAATCTGAAACTCTATACTCATTAAACAATGACTTCCCTTCACCTCTTTGGAAGTTAGTCTTCTAAATACTACTTATTAAAGATTATGATAGTTTCATGACATTGCTCTCATGGAATACAGAAAAGGATTGACTATGCATTCAAAGACCTATTGAGGAGTCTTGACACATCCAAACCATGCAATCTTGTGCAAGACTAACTAACCTTTCCTAATCTACTAAGACTGAGAGCAATGATACCACCCCAACTTGACTCACAGAATTACTGCAAGGACTAAATAAAATCTGCAATAAGACTTCGGCAAAACAGTACCATAAGACACAAATATAAGGGATGAAATAAACAATACAGGCAAGGCTCCAAATTATAGAGAGAAGTAGCATAGAAGAGCAAATGTTTCTATTGGTCTACTAACTAAAATTGGAATAAATTTTGCTGTTGAAGAAGAGTAACTTGACTGTCCCTCTATTACCTGTGACTAAGTACTGCCTTTAAAAAATGCATTAGTTTTTTAGGCTAACTAGATTACTGTTGTATACAGTATCATCCATAGTGTTTCCCTTGGTAGCAGTGTACTACAAGCTGGCATTGGATGTCAGGGGGAATTGGAAAGCCT